GAGGGAACATGGGCCAAAGGAGGCAGAGAGGATGAGTGGAAAGGAGAGGCCGCTGGGGTGCCCAGCACCTGCGGCATTTGGGGGGAAGGCAGGGGGAGGGGTCGGACGGGGAGAACCGGCAGAGGGCAGGACCCGTATGTGCCTGCCTGCCCTTCTGTCCACCCATCCACATCCATCCACCCACCCACCCACTCGTCCAGCGGTCACTGAGTGGCTTGAGGGGCCAGACCCTGGACACTGCACTGAGGATTAGGAGGAAAACAGGACAGTCCCTGCCCCCAGGCGGGGAGAAGCCGAGCACGGGAATAATAATCCTGCTTCGTCCGTTTCTGGAAACAGCGCAGACTCAGATGCTTGTTCTCAGCAGTCTCCGCTTTGCCGGGGATGAGACAGAGGCACAGGAAGCCCTGGGCAGCCGGAGACTTGGAGACTCGGGGGAGGAGGAGGACCCCGCCCATCCTTCTGCTCGGGCCCTTTCTTGGTCCTCGTGGCCGACCCTGGCTGGCTCTGCCGGCGCCCTCCCCACTTATTCCTGGGCAGGGGTGCTCGGTGCTCCATGGCGGACAGGCCAGCTTCCTTCCTTGTTCTGCGAGGGGGCCCCGTTCCCAGGCCTGACCCCCACATTTCTGCTTTGCTCAATGCCAAGGCCTTTCTTCTTCACCTTGTCCTATGTTCCTCGGCCTGCGCAGCCTGCTCTGCTGGTGACAACGTGACAAGTGCTATTTACTGGAGGTGGCGAGGATGGTCAGGAGCAGTGCAGGCCCCGTTCTCGGATGCCTGGATTACCTCCCGCCATCCTTCCTCGCCCTCAGCAAACGCGCCTGCCTGTCTGCCTCGGACCCTCAGCTGGGAGCGGGGCTGAAACAGAACCCACCCGCCAACAACACGCCCTTGGTGACTAATGCTTTGGCGCTTCTCGCTCCCAGGGCCCCCACAACCAGGGAGCCCTTTTCCGTAAGTGGACACCCCACTTGCCATTCCTCCTACTGGGGGAGGGGGCTTGGGGGACATGCCCTTTCCCACAGAGGCATTTGCCCCGAATCAGGAAGTCGCCCAGGACGCTCTGCAGGGACCTGCTTGCTCGGTTTCATTCTCTGTGTCCTTAACTGCCCCAGACTTTTCTGGCACGCCGACCGCATCACCGTCCCTTCGGGCCTCGGGCTGCTGCAGACGGCCTGCCCCCGGCCTCTGCTTCCTTCCCTGGGTGCTGGGCCAGCCCTGGACCCCCGGGGCTGTCTCCACAGTGGGCTTCTGCTCGCTTCGAGTTCACATTCCTGGTTCTTTCCAATCTCTTCCTTTGGTGCGTGAGTGTGGGTGTGTGTGTGTATGTGCATGCGCGTCCGTGTGAGTGTGAGTGTGTGTGAGTGCGTGTGAGTGTGTGTGAGTGTGCCTGCCCTTTCCTGCCTCAGCTGGGCCTCTTGCCTGCCCAGGTGCACTTTCCCTCTCAGTTGCTCCCCGACGACAATCCGGAAAGGGCAGCGGAGCGGGGCGGGCGGCGTCACCCGGAAAAAGCTCGCTCTGGCTTGGCAAATGGTCTCTTCCGAGAAGAAAAACCACCGCTTCGAACCTCGCGAAAGCTCTGCTCGGATGGGCGCCCCCCAAACTAGGGGCGATAATCCGGGTGACGAGAAATACAAAACACTTCGAGAAGTTTAATGAAATCCAACAGTGTGCCAAGATCAGGATGGCCAAAAAAAAAGGAAGTGCGGGAAAGAAAAAGTTGGAAATACAGTTCCAGTCATTATTCAGGAAAAGAGGGTCCTCAGAATGAAGAGATGACGAAGAAAACAGAGGCGCCATATGCCTACTTGAAACTTGAGATTTAAAAAAAAATTATTTATAAGGAGAAGGGCATGAAAATTTAATTTAATGTTCACCTTAGGTAATTTTGTGTCTTATTGTTCATAGCAATTACCATAAATCTGCATATCAATAAGCAGGAACAGATGTCAGTTGTTACCAGTGCTTGCCAATCAGGTCTGTTAGAAAGTGACAGATGGGTGGTTATGGAAGCAGCCCTCCTAAGGCCCATTAGCACACTCGCAGGAAGTGTCTGCGTGGAGGGTGGGAGGTAGGCCCTGGGAAGGAAGGGCATCCTAGGGGTCCTGGATGCACGCAGCACGCCTCGGGAGTGGCAGGTCCTCAGCCCTCTCCATTCGCCACAGACACCCCGAGACAGTCTTCGCTGGGACCGATCTCGAACTGATGAAAGCCTCGCCGTGCTGTGGTCTGAAGCAAGCATTCGCGCTCTACAATTCTATGGTTACTTTAAAATACACAGACCCGGTATTCTGAAAGGGAATTATTACCAGCTTTACTGAGGGTCAGAAGTAAAGTGAAAGTTTTCTCTCGTTCATCAAAAGATACTCTTCTTCGGCCACGGCTTTATCATCTCTATAATTTCCTAATTACAATCCCTCACTCAAAAAGAATT